GACAAAAGGCTGCATGGTGCAGATGGATGTGAAACTAATCTTGTACATTAACTGAACATATTTAAAGAACTGAACAGCAGTGATGCTTCATTAAACTTCAACTAACATCGAGCTAGCATAAAGAAAATGTTCGCGTGATGCAAGAGGATGGGGTTTTTCTCATATTATGTCAATGGCTGTCTTATAGCAACAGTTTAATCACAACTACTTACAGAAAACTAAAGTAGGACATGTAGGGTAACCATTAGGATTACGACACAAATGTGTGTATGCGTGTGTGTTGCACAGCAGTTTATTGTCAGGAGGTCAGCACCACACACGCACGCACGCACACACACACACACACACACACAGTCCTAATACATCAGAGAACTTTCTGTCCATTGTGGTTCTGTAATGGTGTGGAACAGAGTGATGAGTAGACTGTTAGCTCTGCTGGTGGATCAGCTCTCATGCTTCATTACCTGTGTGTGTGTGTGTGTGTGTGTGTTTGTGTGGCACATTGTTGTTTTTGGTTCATTCGCTTGCTTTCAGCTCTGGCAGTGGAGAGTAAAATTGTCACCGGATTAGGGCTACGTAAGGTAACCGCTTATGGATGCTTCCTTTTTTTCAAACTAATATCTGAATCTGACTTCATGTAAGAGAAGACATTTGTATTTATTTGTGCTCAGAGTCCTTCAGTGCTTTTGTGCGGAGTGTAATTGGCGACTGGATGGATGAAGATTGGTTAGTCATGGCTATTAGGATGATAGTTAGTTATAACTTTTGTTCACATCTGCTTGGTCCAAATTGGACTCATCATCCATAAATGAGCAATTTGAACTGATAATCATTTATAACAATGACTTTTGTTTGTGGAGGGGATTGCATGTGGGTAATCTTTTATGTGTTTCTCTTCTTGGTGGTTTTGTCTCTGACCAAAAGTCACTGTGTCTCTAAAGGAAAGTACTTTTTATATAGCTTCAATGTCCTGCATACATCTGTGTCCTCTGTTATCTCTCCTCTCCCGCTCTCCTGTCCTCTCTCTCTCTGGCATCCAGCCGCCAATGATGACGCAGGGAGAGCAGAGGAGAGAAGCAGGAAAGGGGGGGGGGGGTTTATCTGACATAGGCTTAACGCACTAATACAATAATAGAGCAGAACCTATTTTTGTAGACAAATAGTAAAGAAGGCAACGTTTTAAAGAAAGTCCCTGTTTCATTGGAAATATTGCTATATCTTGAGATAGGATATCATAAAGGGAAAATAGTTGCACAAACCAACTGCAGATGTTTTTTACTTGGCTACTTGCATAGCCCTGGAAATGATGAATGAGACTCAAACTGCCTAGCCTTTGTGTTGTTACAGAAGAGCTAAAGCAAGAACAATCTTTCCTCTGCTGCTGCTGAAGACATTGCAGCTGTTCTTAGCTCACCTTGCACTAATGAAGTCTCCTCTGTAGACCTCAAAGATCATGCTGCAAGGGATTTCTGTGTCCCCATGTTTAAGCATTGTGGAGAGAACAGTATAAGGACTTGTCAGAGCCAGACACAAAGTCCTCACTTGATGCCTGACCCTCTGACCTAATAGGAAAGCGTGCGGGTGGGGCTGGAGGTCAGCAGCGAGTGAGGAAGACACTGCATGGTACAAAACAGCATCTGGCAAATACTGGGAATGTATTGGACGATGTTGTATTCCTAAAGGAATGTTTTCAGCCAAATGCTGTTGCAAAACACGCCATTTGGTCAGAACAGAAGTCCATATTGAGGGGAGTGACGTTTTTCCTTCTGTGAAATGAATCACTTAAGATGTGTGAGCGAGAGAGAGACAATCTGTCAACAGGCGTCAGAACTGTGTGTGTGTGTGCATGCATGTGCGTGTGTGTGTGTGTGTGTGTGTGAATGTAGGTATGCGTGCCACCGTCGCTTCCTGCTCAGACTTATCGCCCAACTGTTTAGGATGCTCATAGAACCCAGTTGTCATAGTGACGGGGGGGAAAGCAAGAGGAGCCCGCTCATTGCGCCACCTGATTGTAAGTGTGCATGAGAGAGAGAGGGAGAGAGAGAGAGAGAGAAAAAAAGGCTGGAAAGCAGAGACAGAGAGTTGCGCAGAAGCGATGGAGAGAAAACCTTTTTGCTGTGATCAGTGTTTTCATCAGTAGTCTTGTTCTTCAGCGGCTGTGGGGATTACAGACAATTTGCCACTCTCACTCTCTCGGAACACAAAAACTTGGATTCTCTGATTCCTTACCCACACACACACCTAAACTCAGTGGTCGCTGAAGATGATGCTGCTGCTGCTGGGTGTGACATGTGTGTCAGGTGTGTATGAGATGGGGTCTAGGGTGTGTTGACTCCCATGCACACTTTGACACACTCCCACTTTGACTTGAGGGACTTGCAGCACGCCTGGCCAGGGGCCCTCTATCCCATGGTAAATACCTCTGCTAACAAACTTATCATGTAGTATAGTCTTTATAGTCTCATTAAGGCAGGAGCAAGTAGGATACAACACTATTTGTTTTGTTGGAAGGTAGAGATGCATGGTTGAGTAAGTGTGTGTGTGTTGTCAATAATTCTGACTTATAGTTTTTCTCCTAAATCAAGGAGATAGAGATGCATGTATTGTTGCTGCTTCAAAGGAAAGGAAGTGTTTGTTTTGACTTTGCCCTTGCTGTCTTTAGATAGTGGTGGTGTGTTACCAGACCTTTCCACCTTGAATACGCTGGAGTGTGTAAGCTTGCCTCTCCCCCTGCTTGTGCATGAGTTTGTGAGATTGTGTGTGTGTGTGTTTTGCTCTCTGGCTCTATCTTCCCCCTTCTCTCCTGCTGGCTGTGTCCCCTCAGGTAGTGACTCTGCGTAAGTGTGCGTATCTATGTGTGTGTGTGTGTGATGTGCATTTCCACACTGTTATACACGGACAGTGAAAAAAGCATCACAGTAACCTTAGGGTGTAATTAGCAGGAGAGACTCAAAGTCAAACAGAGAACAGAGGGAAATGGAGAAAGAGGCTGTCTGTGACAAAATGATAATTAGCGAAAGGAAAACGGCAAGAAATAAGTAAGAAATAGTAAAATTATAAGCTGGAGTCGTTTTATCTTTGAATCATTATAGCATTGCTGTATGTGTGCTCACATTATGCTGATTGAAATAGATGGAGAACTTGTGGAGAAGTGCTGATTTGTTAGGTCTGGATATGACAGTTTTGTTTGTCTCAGTTTTGAGGTAATATGACATCCTCTCTCCACCTCCCGCTCTGGCTCTCTGTGTTTCTGTTCTTCTAGAGATCTCTCTGTCACAGGTTATCTCTCTCTCTCTCTTCCTCTGTCTCTGTCTCCCTCCCTGTCAGAGTATGAGCAGCAATCATTTCTCCTCCCTGCTCAAGGCACTCAGAAATCACTCTGCTCCAAAATACTCCAAGTCTTATTTTCCCTTCTCCCCTCTACCCTTTTTGCAGATAAAAAGTGTCCTTACTATGTTTCATAGAAAATAGTTGTACTTGAATGATAAAATGCACTCTAATACAAGTTCGATGGTAGCAAAAAGACAGACTCGATATGTTTCTTCTTTGCATCTTTTGTGTGCATTTGCTCTTGAGGGTGTGAACAATCAATGACCTCAATTGATTGCTGCCCTTTTTAATGATCAATAAAGGATTACATATCAAAGTTGATAGAATACAATAACATTGGGTATTGTCTTAGCACAAGCCAAATAAATGAATATAATTGAAGTTAAGT